TCCAGAGGTCCAGTCCTTCCCATCTGAATTAATCTGTTCTATGAAGTAGAGGTCAAAAGTATCATCCAGCATAGGTTCCATTCAACAAATTCAGCTCTACTAAAAGACTGCAGAGGCAAAAAAGTTACAACATTTACAGCAATTCTTTTATCTGTAGCTCATAAAATCTGTGCCATCTATTAATACTGCTAAGGAGTCTCATGTTATAAATGGTAACCAACAGTAGACTTTGCTACATCTGTGACTACAGTTTGGCTCCAAACATATTAAAAGTGTAAATAAAAAACCAAAACAAACAAAAAAAAAAAGATAAGTCATTCTAGAGAATACCTGAGCAATTAAAAACCAATCTGTTCTCATTGTATTTATTTATGTAGGTTCATGCCTCTACACTTCAGTAATGTGCACTTGTAGTTTACAGTCCTCATCCAAATTCTGCTTCTTTTTCTTTTAACAGGTGGTCAGTATTTGATGAACTCATTTAAACTTCAACAGGACTTGGCAATCACTGATTCTCTTTGAAGAATCTTTCCAATTGCCTCTGTTTACTGAACCATAGAAAGAGATTTCCTTACTGGAGTTTATATTAGGATAGTGAGCTAGAAAGCTGACCAGTCAGATTACCTTAAGCAGCAGCAAATCATCATTTACAGTAGCTATAGGATTCATTGTTCCAGCTCAATAGAATATCAAGAATTAGTTTAGTTGTTTAATTACCACGCTGGTCTTAAAGAGTAAAAGAATAGAGTAAAAACTAAGTGAATCCCTTAGAGAGTTTCATTACTTGCATATAAATATTTACTTAACTAAAACTCCACCCAACTCCTGAACAAAGCAAAAGAGAATTACAATTTAAAAGAGCAGCTATAGCAATATTATGAGTATTGTGACAGCGCAGTGACAGGCCCTTTACAAACATATAGAACATCTTTTCTACAGTTCTCCTCATGTCGACACTCATTCACATGCTTCCCTGTCCAACACCCCACTTCTTAAACAAGCACAAAAATTTTAAAATTACAAAAATAAAACTCAAAGTATATATCTGAATGTCCAGAAGCAACAGGGGAGGAACCTTAGAAATTTGGAGGGTTCCCAGGCTTTCCACTGAGGAAGCAGGAGAAAACTTGAGAGAATAAAGATATTTAGAAAACTGTTGCCAGCTTATGGGGTAGACAAGTCACCTAGCTATGCATACTGACATCTTGATCAGGCTTTGTGTCTGCTGGGTGGGTGCTGACACATCTGAGGGCCATGGACTAGCTGGGCAGGACATCAGAAGTCTAAGGCCCAGAAGCCAGAAGCTTTGTCAAGTTTACCTTGTGTTACTTTCTCTCAAATACAGGTTCCAGTGAAGTGCTTTTTACCAATACCGGAGCAGTCTACCTGGCAAGACTGTAAAGAATTCAATGAGCTTGACCTAATCACAGATTTCAAAGAGATATTAGGTGCTAAGTATTTCTGATGGTGTAGATTTCAGTCTATTTCTGCCCTCGGTCTTCCTCTGTAAGATGGAGATACCTGCAATTCCTACTATATTCACATAAATTAAATGGAAACCATTGTACTAACAGACTGTAAAGATGCTTTGACACTCAAATAATGAGTGTAGCTTATAGGTAGCTTACCTAAAATGAAGTCACCCACTTTTAAGACACAGTGTAAATGAAATATGCCCAGCTTTTGTGTTCTTGACCTGCAATTCTCAGTAAAACAAAAAAATTACTCATTTGCATGACGGTCTTTTAAAATCTTAGCTAATGTCACAAAGTTGCAGCCAGGTTTTGGCTGAGTAAAAATCACCTTGAATTCTGCGTTGCTTTCAGGTGTACATATTCACATGAGTGTTGTAATTAATGAAGAACGATCACAGGGACTGTACAATTTTTAGTGTGCTACAGCTTTCATGAGGGGTGGTCTGCAGATACCATCAGGATATAAATAACAGTATTATCCAACAGAGTAGAACATGTAAGCAAACATGCATTGGTGTTTTATATGACTGAGGCCTAATTTCACTGGTTAAATTCCTCATTGGAAAGTAGATTTGTCATCATCTTACATGGTACCAAATTTTACCCACGTGTCACCAAAAGAAAACTGATCACTCTAACATCAGATATATATTGATCTTACTGTGACTTGGCAAAGAGTCAGAGTGTGCTGATATTGACCCTGTAAGAATATTAGGTATATTGCCCAGAGGTATTAACCTTTGTTTAACTAAAGGGTAAATCTCCTGATGAAAGGCAACATTTTATTACTAGCCACCTGCAACAAATAGCTCATTTCTTACTACTATAACTCAACTGCTGGTATTGAAGAGCAAAACCTGCACTTTACTTCCAGAGGCTCTTGAGTAATTCATATTGAGGTCATGGATCAAAATTGATTATATAGTTGCAATGATCAAATCCTGCAAGGTGTTATGTCCAGCAGAGAGGACTAAATGTAGCAGCTGAATCCTGTAGAGAAGGAGGTTGTGAACAAATTACCTTTAGTTAAAAATACTGCCCAAGCTGAAGGAAGAGGACAGCCAAGCAGGAAAGATGTTCTTGACTTCTTGGGCAGTGTTGATTCATTCAATTGTCCTATTAATAATTTTTTCCTGAGAGAACCTACATAAAGCTGAAAGTCACTTTCATTGTCTCAGTTCAGAAACAGCTAGAAATCACAGACCTAGTATTTTTCAATGGCATTTGAATTAATGATGAGAGAGATTATGTTGCCAAAGGCCCATTAAGTGCAAGCTCACTTGAATCACCAGTGTTTGCTTCATCCTCAGCAGCCTCTCATGTTTTGAGAGCATTTTGCGTTTAATCAAACACTTTAAGCCAGCATTACACCAGGTCTTTCTTTGCATATTTCTCTTCTCTGTAAGATCAAGTTCTGCCCATAAGCATGTGTCTGTTTGTCTCATGACAGATGGTTTTCTGTGGCATTCTGCATACCCAGCCTTGGATGTACCTACTCAGCTTCTACCACAACACTACCCTAAACTGATGATTTTCTCTCAATAAAGTTTATTTTAATTTATTAAAAACAAAGGTCATTGGGTCTTTTGAAATCTGTAGGAGTAGGCCATGGGAAACAGTACTGCTTTCCAAATTTAATATCCTTTAATGTGTGTGTTAACAGAACACTGACATCTGCTTAGTGCTTTTTTTACAAGAATCTATCAGATCTCCCCTTATGTATCTTGCCAATCTCAGCTATCAGCTTTTTCATTTACAAAACAAAACATGAAGTAAGTAACAATGCAGCTTAAAGTTCCAGAGCCAAAATCTTGCATAAAACTTTTTTTTAATTATTATTTTGGAAAGTGCATCTGCTCTTTCAAAAACTTTTAATCACACTGATCTCATGCACTGAGCTGCTGTTTAAACAAAAGCCACCCATTTACTGTAAAGCTGCAAAGCAGAGAAGAAAACAATGAACTAAGAGGATAGATAGTTAATACATACGTGTCCTCTTTGTGCCAACATTGCCAGCAAAGCTGGAGTGCAAATCAGATGCCTCGTTGAAGAGAATTTTTGGCAGCCCAAAAAGAAACAGCAGCAACCCAAGGGTGTTTCTGAACCTTCGCTTATAAAACCAGTCTTACGTACTGTAAACTCTCACTTATTTTTAACCCTTGGGTTCACCTGTTTCGTTTTCATTTTATCAAAGCAAAGGAATGTGAGAGAGATATCTGTTAGACTTCTTCACTCAGCCCCAGGGTTAATTACTCGGTTTGGTAGACATTTGAAAATATTATGTTACCTCTAACGGCAGAAATGATAGAAGCTTGTTTCAGGCTCACTTTATGTCATTATGGCAGATTAAATTAACTAATCATAAATTACACTTCGCTAAAGTACATCTGCTACATATTAAACCTGCAGAAGGAAGAGAAAGATTATTTTTTTTCCTGGTAAGAAGTAAATGCCACCTGGCAAATTTAAGACTTTTTCGAACCAATAAACATACACTCAAGTTACAAAAGCTGGAGGCATCCCAAAGATAGCAGCAACAGATTCTGAAGACCATGGCAGCAGTCTTTGTACTGAACCTGTAGCTGCTGTGGAAAGGCATCAACACTACAATGCTGCACGGGTATATCTGCAGATCAAAGAGTAAAAACAGCACATTGAAGAATAAAGAAAGTCAATTAAAGAAGAATAAACATGTTTACATTATTGTTAGATGACCTTGAATACCCATATAACATGAGGTTCATGTTTGCAGCCTCTACTTCCAATGTCATCTTTCATTTTGTGTTCAAAGGGGCTGAATACACCATTTTTGTGTGCTTCCAAGGAAAGGATGGACATATATATCACGGATCTAGAAGACAGTATAGTTTTTACAGTGACCTTCTTATTACTCTCCACAGGATCCAGACACCATGCCAGAATTCAATCATGCTAATACCACATCAGCATGATTGAATTCCTACACAGGGCATGGACAACCGAAGTTAGAAATGTGCGAGAGTAAAGGACAGAAAACACAGGCATTAAAGACCTCTCCCGTGCAGTACAGAGTCCCTAACTGTAAGCTCATGGTAGACCAGCTTGATCACATTACCTGAGGATTCTCTTTCTCTGAAAGAAAACAAGGAAGAAAAGCAGCACTATATTGTATCACATGTGGATTCACACCTATGGTTGTCAGATAAAAATCTGTTTTGGGATGACCAGATAGCTTGCTCCTGTATAGGAAACGAACTTTGCTGAGCACCTCCAGAAAGAGTCCAAATAAGACAATCAGCCTCACAGCGACCATATTTAGAGGAAGGGTAAACAAAGGATTGACAAGTCTATTGTGTTCCTTCAGGTGTCATAATGCCTCACGAAGCTTTGGGGCGGTCTGAATAGCCCAAACTTAAAGTGCTATCTCTCAGCATATAATAAACTTCTGGAAAGGTGCAGCACTGTCTCTTCATCTGTTCCCAGGTTCCTACTCCACCAGTCCCTTGAGGCAGATAACACTCTTTGTACCATCCAAGTCCTTTTCCCTCATGTTTCCTCCCGTTTCATGTTCTCTGAAAAAATATCCCCCAAGCCACCTTCTGTGCATGATGCACACAGCTACAAAAAAAGTCAGAAGGAATGACATACAGCTACACAAGGATTTAGAGGAAAGCAGCAAGGAAGAAAATTGTGTTCCTCACCAATATACAGAAAGCAATGATGAGGCTTAGTCCTACAGTGAAAAAAATTCTAAAAACTCCCTCTGAAAATGAAAGAAAGCTTAGATCACCATCCAGTCATTGGATAACCTATTTTAAGCCCATCAGAGCGAGTTCGCTGTTCTCATGTTGCTAATTAAAAATGATAGATTCATCAATTAATCTCTCTATCTGTCCCCTAGTCATGGTATGAGATTTTTCAAAGAGACAAATGGTAGTTAGGTGCCCACAAGTATCAAAAACTTGTGCCTGTGTCAATATGAACCTAGCCTTGTCCCTTTACACTATGGAATGACAAAAAGAAAACCAAAGGAAGCTTTGCCACCCCAAAAAACAGAACAGATTTATAATTTGGTAATAATCTTATCCTCCATACAATGAATATTGCTGCGTAAATCCTTCCTGGGCTCCAATCTGAACTTTCTCACTGATAGATGAATAAGTTTCTTTTAAATTTGTCAGAGAGATGTTGTAAGTTTAGGATCTTGATTGAAACTCAATTGCACTACGTACCATGGAGCAGTCAGAGATACTCCACTATTTAGGAAAGAAGCAACGAAGGCAATCTATTTTTATTCACATTGAAATGGAGGCAAAGGTAAAGGTCCTGTCGTTAGCTTAGCAAAGTGCCAGTTACATAAAGCAAGCCAGTGAAAGTGAAATGGGTTATCTTTTCCCCTTTCAATATATGTATTGCCAGGCAGCGAAATAGAATTGGAGTGTACAAGGTTAACAAGCCAGCATCATGTTATGAAGCAAGCGATAAAATTGTCTTATAGTTCTTAACTCTGACCTGTTCCAGTGAAAAGCTGCCAAGCAGAATTATGTCATCCTGAACGTCTCTCTCAAACTGTTCGATATATGAAGGAATCTCTTCATCTTCAAGCTCCCTGTGAAGGTCATGTGCTTTACTGGAGCTGACAGGCATCACGGACTCTGGAAAATCTTCACTGGCAACACTGGCTGTTTGAAACAAAAGTGGCAGATTATCTCTTAGCAAATGGGAGTTCATTCACTGGCTAGTACCTTCTCAGTTAACATATTTGGCCCATCAACGTTTTAAGACAACCATTCATGCCATATAATGAACAGTAATAAATAACAGTTAGTAGAACAACTGGCGGGTTTCAAGTGCCATTACCAGAGAAACTCTCCTCAAGGGGAAGACCGGCATACAGGTACAAATTTAGCACATGCAGCTTGTTCTTTAAATAGTTTTTAAAAGGGATACTCTGCATTTCCATGGCCACGTTGCTCCCCTGTAAGTCTTAAAGGAATTGGGACTTAGAACAACTTTTGTCTTTCCCTCATGAGGAAGAGGAAGAATAACTGTAATTGAAAGGGAGTTTCAGGTGGAGCCACAGCGAACATTTCATCTTCCTCCCACTCACCCCAGAGGATCAGATTCCTTCCCTAGGTGTGTGCACTCAGCTTCTGCCTAATTAATTAGGTCCAGTTCTGTTCTCACCCACATCATTCCCCTGATTTCAGTGGAGTGACTTATGCAGAACCAAAGGGTACGTGCTGTACATAAATAAAAAGAAATCCCATTCATAAAGTTAATCTTAAAGAGAAGCTGTATCCTTTTTTCAGTTTAATTCATCAAGCTACATTTAAACAAAAAATAAATTAAAAAATTGATCTTCTCATTGATATCTGCTACAAAACTGCTACTAGTTTGGGTCATAAATAATAAAGATGTCTATTTTTTGCTATTTCTCCACATTAGGGTCACTAAGAAATGACAGATATCGGGTTGTCCACATCTGACTTTATATTTCTTGCCTCATATTTCTGTGCTAGTTTTTATAGTTGTCTGTGCCTTTCTCTAAAAGAAACTGCCATATCAAGTTATTTGCTTTTCTCTTTGTCCATTCTAAGACATGAAAGCAGTTAAAAGTTGTTTTTTTTTCCTCACTCCCCTTTGAAGTCATTTATTCTCTAATGAAGACCAGAAAACGAAAGATAAAACTAAGGCTATTAACATTTTCAGTTTTGCTCACTACTCATTGTTTAATGACTTTAATTGTTGAGCCTCCTGAGTACTTAAATCACCTCAGTGCCACCAACACACAGGAAGTAGAGTGGGTTTTTTTATTTAATTACAACAGGATACAATTCAGAATCATTTTGGGGGAAGTGTACAGTAGATATAAACAACCCAAACCATTACCTGAGGGTACACAATTTCTTCATGTAGCATTTTACAAGCCTAATGAAAAGTGATTTGACCTACAACTATTAGCTGCAAAAACAAAACAATATTTACATTTAAATTTACTGTAAGATTAAGGGTTTGGCTAGTAGAGAGAAAATCCAGGAAGCGCTGGAAAAGGAAACATTGCCAACAGCAGAAGATGCAGCACCACTTGCTCCCCTCAGTGCTGTGTTGCACACAACAGGCCATATGCTCAGCTGGTATAAATCAGCTGCTTACTGATTTCACAGGAGCAGTGCAAGTTTACATCCTGGGAATACTGCACATTCCTATCTCAGGAACCTCTGGGTGTAGAGAGATAGTCCTTATATATCAAAAAAAGAGTTAAAACATTTGGTTCACAAAGGCAACCATGCAGTGATTCATCAAAATACCTTTTTTTTGTGTGTTTGTTATTTTTGTGAGGAATTACAACAGGCGAACTCAGTTTTGGTGGAAGACACTGGGATCGTTAGCACATGTTTTGTGGAAAAAGAGCAAAAGAAGAGAAAGAACATTTTCAAAAAGCTTTTAGAGGGAAATAACTGCTAAAAATACAGAGAAATTATGGTTCAGATTTTTAAAATATTTGATTAAAAGATACCTATGCTTATTTAAACACAATTGGAAAAACTGTTCGGTTTTGAATGAGCTGAATACAGGGAGGTAAGAGAATTGTTCAGCTGGTTTATTCCTTCTGTGCTGGCTTTGCTAAGAAACCTCTGAAACTCGGTCACTGCCAGGTTGCTCCTTGTCTGAACTGACCCACGGGTTAGAGGTTTGAGCTGCCACCCCGGAGCAATACTTGACCAAAACACAGCCTCCACCTCCTTTCTGTACAAAAGTAGCCATTGTGTTAAAAATGTTACTACTTTGTACACATGGGACAAATGGCTGAAAATTTATGAGGAAATTGATTGGTAGATTGATAAACTAATTAAAAACTGGCTGCTTCGAGTTGCTAGCATCTGCGTCAAACTTTTCATTGCCTCGGCTGTACTTAACACTGCGAGTCATACTTTCTGTGTAGTTTAAATCACTTCTTAGCACAAGCTGTATTTGCAGATGTTGTGCTGTAATTAAAAGAATCTCTCTGGTATTAACTTGGCTGCTTGTAACTTCATTTACTCCTGCATTTGTCCATCAGACAACAAAGGTTTAATATGCTGAGATGAGAATTTAAAGGGTAGGTTCACCAGCAGACTAGACCTCAGCATGGGTCTGAATGTATAAAGTAGCTACAAACTCCACAAGGAAAATGTACTTTGGCTGTCTTGTTCTAGAAGACTCTGCATAAATTGTAGCCAAAAAACTACATCACCAAAGGCTCGTGCATCAGTTTCAGACAACTAAAATGCTGTAAAGCATTGCACTTCAATTTTTAGGTTGTTGCCAAAAAGTAATATAATAGAAAATATTTTTGATGCTGTTCACCTAGCATCATTTCAGATGTACATGGATCATGATCTTACATTGTTTGAGAAATGTTTGGTCTACATCTTCTCTAAAAAAAAAACTGTTGCCTTTTAAGTTGCTGTGTAATATGAACTAACACATAGCACAAGAGTGACCAACAGGTTACTCAGCGACAAAATGCTTTAAATATGCAATTATATTAATTCTGAGCCATGTTCTTTTCTTTCCTTTGGGGATGATCTATTAATTAGGACTGTATGACTACGTGATTTTTCAGCTCAGTGGTCAAATGAAGAAAAGAAGCAGTTCTGTAAGAGTGGAACCAAATGAATCCTAGTTTTCTATGGATTTTCTGATGTCTAATAAGGGTCAAACTCCCATATTAGCTTTCCCTCATTGGAGACATTAATAATGCTTGTCTGCTCTGCTCAGCTGCCCACTTTCATAGAACTGGTAGAGAAGTCAGACCTGTGAGACTTGCTCTCTGTTAAAAAACCAAGGGTGTTAGAAGTGAAAAATAGGTTCAAAAATTGCGAGGGAGAAGCACATGCAGAAATAAATACAGCCTGATATACACACACAGAGGTAAAGACTGCACAAACCTCACTTTGTCAGGAAAAATCCTGCTTTTTTTCTGGGTTTTATTCACTCAAGCAAATAAAAAATTCAGGTAGGACAGGGTGTAATATTCACCTGCAGGACCAGCTCTGATACCCATTGTGGCACTTTTAAGAAATAAAAGCAGTGAGGCCCAAGACACAAGACAGCAGCAGGCTGTGGTGTCTCTCCCACTTCCTGCCTTCCTGCGGGGCTCTGACATGCGCCTGGAATGCAAGACATAGTTGCTAATACATTTGCTTGCTCTTGAATTGAATCAGTGAGCTGGCAGCTCAGCAACCTTGGCAGCTTCAGTGCAAGACCACTGTCCACAAAGTGCACCATGTATGTTCAAATGGCTTTGGATGTCTCACACCCACATAGTCAAACAATAATAAGAGCATTTTGCCTTTCATGGTGGTTTGATAAAACTAGTAGGAGAAAAAGATATTTTTAGTTCAAACATACCTGGTGAGCTTAAATTATAAACATTTGAGATCAGTGAATCCGTATTTCTCTCTAAATATGTTATTTTTTATTATCCTCTGTCAAGTATCTGGTCGTTCATCTTAACAATGTTCATTAATGTTATTTGTAATATAAGATAAAGTTTTAGGGCACCTAGATGAAGGAGAGAGTAATCACTGATGAATGGGGAAGGCTTCCCCTTTATTCCCTGGTTCCCTTGCTTACAAGTGGACAAGTACACACAGTACAATTTGGCTTACTTTCTTTTAGCCACACAAAAAGCATGGACAAGTCCAAAGGAGTTATCCAAGAGCCTTCAAGAGCCAGAGGAAAGAGAACTGCTTCCAGTGCAAAATTTGCCTAATAAGCTAAGAGGTGTCTGCATGAGGTGGACTGAACCACTGCTCAGAGGTGCTTCTCTCTCCCACCACTTTGGGGGAGCCCCAGAAGCTATCTTTCAGAAAGGTAATGGAAAAGGTATCAGATCCCACCCTGGGGAAACCTCATACAGAATACAAAAAACACCAGAAAATACTTTTGCACCGAAGACCTGCTGAAAAAGGAGGGGTGGGGTGCAAAAGTATAAGAGCAGCACTGAGCCAGGACTTGTTCATATGTTACTTCTCGTAGGATGAGCCAGAGGAGAGCAGCAGACGTGCATCTTTTCTAAAGGCTTTAGTGGAGACAGTCTCATGAATCAGCTGGGCGTTAAACAATGCCTGTAAAAATAAGTGAATCCAAAGTTTCAAAGTTCCAAAGCTGTTGGCTTCAGGTGAAGAAATCTCTTCTCTCACGCTTTGTTGTTTTTAATGTAGGTGCAACATCAATTAGCATCTTATAACAAAGCCACAGAAAACATTTTCTTACCTGTTAGTGTAAATCCTCACATAGATAACCTCAAACACTATGCGACATGATCCATGCATCTGACAAATGGCCCACCCATTTATGAACTTAAATAATGATTTAGATTTCTAGCTTTGAGCACATTAGCAATGATATTTCCAGTCTTCTTTCATAAGAGTGGAATTCAACATGCAATGAAGTTGCCTAGAGAAAGCATGCACTTAAGTGACACTTAAAACCACATAAACATGACTTAAAACAAAAACATTTGGGCAAAAAAGATCTTACAGGCTCGCATTAAAATCAAAGTCCCTTTTGGTTCTGAGTTCAATGGGATGGATTACCCACTCTCTTCCCCACATCCAGAATCAGAAGAGTTTTAGTTTTCTTTATGCAAATGTTTGTTATTTACCTTGCAAGTCCAGCATTATGTTTTCTTCATCTAGAAGCTTCATCAGTTTACCATACAGGATTTGCTCATCAAATTTCACAGGATCTTAAAATAAAAACCAAAACAACAATTCTCTCTTACAGTGGCATTTCAAGAAACACTATTTTAAACTGTAAAGGTATAAAAGCAAAAAACCTAGTAAACCATTTGACACTTTAAAATAGTTTTCACAGTGACAGCTTCATCAGAGGTGACTGTCATTTTCTTCTGAGTCATGAAAGACAGTTAAAAATAAAAACAATGTAATCGTATATTTTTAAATGGTGAACAATATTATACCTGGATCTGAACTGAAACTGGTTTACTAAACCTGCTAATAGACTAGTTGAAATTATCATTTATATTCAAATTGCCAGATGAATTCTATTTGACTCTTAATAAAAACCAAATGACCTAATTTCTTTTTTAATATGATTCTGGATCTTTATTAGAAATTTTACCTTGCTGTCCATAATACTAACACATTCCCTAGTATGAGTAGTCATTACAGCACACTGTGAATTTTAGATTTGTGGCTGGTCAGTCATTCAAATTCCTAGTAACATCTGCAGATTTTAAAAAGGAGCAAGGGACACACAGACACATACCTTCTTCCACAACACCTAAAAAATCTCTTTAAGTGTGTATATTCAAGGGAGAAATGATCAATTGAGACTGTCTTCTCTCCAGGTCTCCCAGACCCTGGCTTCTCTAAGTTGTCAGCGAAGACAGGCAGGTAGAAGGACAAAGAAACAAATACAAGGTAGGTGAATTGAAATACAGCTACAAGCAGCCCTGGGTGGCTCTTTTTTAAGTGCCTGATACAATCTCAAAAAATAAGTTTTCTTTACCCTGAAATTTCAAAGCCAGCTGTTCCAGTTATACTGTACATTCAGAGAGGGAGGCTTCTGGAAACCTCTTCTGCAAGTACAGAATCTTTTATGTTTCTTTTAGCATGTAGCATAGAAATGTTCCCCTGGTGAGGTGGGAAGAAAATCCATAGTGAGGTGTTGTTTGTTCTTAGGGCATTATCAACTCAGACAAATTTCCAAAATAAATTTAATTTATCAAATATAGAAAAGATAATTGCCAATATATTCATTTCCACATAACCCGTTATAGAATCTCATATGATGAACACACTAAAATTATATTTAAATTTGTATAATGGAGTTAGTGGCTGAAGATTTGTTTTTCACCACCTATTCTCTTTGGGCTTTGGGCCTGACTTGCTTAGGTCATAAGAAGAGTGCAGCTTTGAAGTGTGCCCTGATTTCTTCATCTTGTTCTGATTTCGTCTCGTTAGTGACAAGCTGCTAGCTGGAAAAAGGAGGTAAACAAATACAATTTCCAATCAAGAGATGATCACACAGGACCAGACTTCAATTCTGACTACCCTTTGAACCCTGTCCACAAGATACAAATGTAGTTCCACTTATTTAACACTTCTGCAAAGAAATGGAAACCAAACAATAAGCCTGGTTTGTGAGTATCACCAAATCAGACTGGTTGAGGTGGGAAGGGACCTCTGAAAGTCATCTCGTCCAGCCCCCATGGTCAAAAAGAAACACCTAGAGCCAATACAGGAGGTTCCTCGATTGTGTGGAAGACAACTTCCTCTTGCAAGGAATAGAGGAGCCAACAAGGAGAGGTGCCATGTTTGACCTTGTGCTCACCAACAGGGAGGGACTGGTTGGAAATGTGACGCTCCAGGGAAACCTTGGCTGTAGTGATCCTGAGATGGTCGAGTTCGAGATCCTCAGGACAGCAAGAAGAGCATGCAACAAGCTCACTGCCCTGGACTTCAAGACAGCAGACTTTGGCCTCTCCAGGAACCTGCTTAGTAAGGTTCCATGGGGTATAGTCCTAGAGGGCAGGGGGCCCAAGACTGCTGGTTGATATTCAAGGATCACTTGCTACAGGCTCAGGACTGTTGCGTCCCGACTAGAAGGAAGTGTGGAAGGAGGGCCAGGAGACCTCCATGGATGGATGAGGAGCTGCTGAGGAAACTTAGAGGGAAACAAGAAGCTTATAGAAGGTGGAAGCAAAAATTACAGAATCCTTGGCCGGGAAGCCATGGACCAGATTAGGAAAGCTAAGGCCCAGTTAGAATTAAATCTGGCAAGCGATGTGAAAGAGAACAGGAAATGCTTCTATAGGTACATAGCATCAAAAGACAGACTAGGGACAACGTGGGCC